TCATTAATTTTGCAGGACAAGTTCTGCCTGGTGGAACATGCGGCGACAGTAGATATTTGACTCTGAAGCTATCCCTCACATCAAACATGCATGCGGCGACAGTGGAGTAAAAAAAAATCCCTTTATAAGGAAGAAATTTCCAGCAGAACCACAATTAGTGTGAGTGGGCTTGTGCTAAGCCCGACTATAGGGTTTAATGAGACAGAAGAACACAGTGCAAGAGGAACATAAAAGCACTGATCCATAGCTAGTTTGTTAGAAAAGATAATGATAAACTAGCTCCAAGGAGGACTCCATCTATAATAGAACAGTTAAGCAGATGAACTCTGAACCAGTTTTCATGTCAAAGGGATGAAGGTGAGCATGTACAAGTAGACCGAGTAAAAGCAGGGCCCATAGCTGTGTCTAGATAAGAAGCTAGGGATGCACGATATTGGGATTTTGGCCGATATCCGATATGCCTATATTTTAAAACTCATGTAGCCGATAACCGATACCGATGTTAAAGCTGGACAAAAATAAGTAGTCATTGAAAATAGCAGTTTTGTTATCCATTTCTGACACTTTGAAAAATAATATACTCAAATATATTTTCATATGCTGATATCAAATTGGTTTTTAAAAACACGGTATCGATCTATTTTACTTTCAAAATCTTGTGAAATTTAATCGTTCTGTTACAAACTCACGTGATATTTTGCAAAATCTTGTGAGATTTTGTTAGTAAAATAGATCCATACCGCGTCAATATATCAACATATAAAAATATGGCAAAATTTCCTGAATTTTCTGGGGATTTCGTAGCATAACGATGACATATAGCAATATTTCATTAGTAAAAGAGATTGATATGGTGTTTTTAAATGGCAATATATCAGCATATGAAGATATTGGGATATTTTAATGTATCAATATTTTTTCCCTCGTCTTTAGAAGTTTTTAAGTCTGTAAAAAATATGTTTTTGAGGAAGAAGAAGAAGTAGTATTTTTTTTTTTTTTTTTTTAGACTTTAGAAACTCAGAAGCTGATCAAATATCGGGTTAAATATCGGTGGGGTGGCCGATGTCCAATATTCAGTTTTAAGGCCGATACAGGCCGATACCGATAGGGGGCCGATTATATCGTGCATCCCTATAAGAAACAGTACTGAGCACTGAAAAACAGACCCAACTATCATCTATAAAAAACATAAGATGTCTGATGGATATGAAGATTATGTATGTATTTGGTTCTTTGGTCTATAACTAATTATGAACATCTACACAATGTTGAACATCAGATTTACTTTGTTTTGGACTCAATACAGACTTCAGGGTAGGGTTGTCAAAAGTATCGATACTCGAAAAAATATCGATACTAAAATGCTGTATCCGGATATGATACTCATTTTCAAAAGTATCAATACAGTTCTACCACCAGTGGCACCTAAACAGTCATTCATCTAGAGTGCAGAAAAGAGGAAATGCACTTTCTGAACACTGTGTGATTGAATAATTCTGTGCACTTTTCAGTTTCAGACTTTTTTTTGTAACAAGTGAAGCTGCTGAGAATTATTTTTGTTTGTTAACTAGTTTGGCTAGTGTCATTGTTATGTGTTCAGAGTATAGTCAAGGAAGGAACACTTCATTTTGTTAGCCTCTTACACCCTAAGGGGGTATAAATAAATTTCTGCCTGACAAAAACACACAAAAGTAAATCACTTATAGCCTCACAGCTATTAGATTTAAGAACAAACTTTTGGTACCTCTGTAAAGGTAAGATTTTCTGATGTCAGCACCATTGTAGCTTTGACCCTGCCTGAAACATTAGGGACAAAATACAAAATATTTTGCATTTTTTGAACCTCGCCAAAATTTTCTTTGAAATAAACATTGCAAAACACTACCAAAATATTATTTATAGCACAAAAAAGTAGTACAGACTTTTAAATCTAAATGTTGTGTAAAAATATACCAAATTTGGACTCAATCAGATGAATCATATTTATTTTAGAATGGTATTAGTGAGAAATTTCTTAGGCGGAGAGGCCATTTTGGCAGATTTATCCAAAAATGTCACCAAACTGTGCCAAATGTGTTTTTTACATCAATACTGGGGGTTTGATAAAATTACGAGGTCACGTAGCAGCTGGACCCGCCGGTGGGTCCGTAGGGTTCTAGGGGTTAGTTTTTTTTTTATCAAGCTTGCCTAATATTGGTCACGGCATACACCTCAAAATATTGTTTTTATTGTTTATTGTATTTATTTATTTTTTTTGTATTTAATTTATTAATGAAAATATTTCTGTTAAATTTTGGGGTCTTTGTTCTTATCCTTGTGGTATCAAAAATGGTATCGAGTATCGAATATTTTCCTGAGTATCGATATTGAATTGAAAATTTTAGTATCATGACAACCCTACTTCAGGGGCCGATTATTAATCCTTCTTCTTAATTATTTATGATTAAAAATGTATATGATTTTAAATGAAATTAGATGGACTAATTTTAGAATATTTTTTTTAATCAACTTTCTAAAACAAACCTTTTTTTTAAGTTTTAGTTTATTCAAATGTCAAAATATTTCAGTTTTAGCCGCTCTGGTGCATTTTGCTACAAATGTTGTTTACTGAGCCAGTTTTATTACCTATGTTGTGTTTGTTATTTTTATGTCAATATAATTAATCCACAGCTATTGATTTTTGCGGATTTCCCAGATTGTCTTTGCTTATTGTTCTTATTGTTAATTATCTTTTTGCATTTGCAGATGGAACCATGAGTGGTGATGCAACTATGATGGAAGACTAAAAATTCATGCTGTAAAGCATCTAAAGCATGCACCACAAAAAGGGGTGGAGGACCAAACCTCACTGAGGACTGATAAGACAGTTGGTTAAGAAAGTGCATTGTCTAATATATTATGCATCTATAGCTATTTTTATTTTTAATCAAGAGTGCTGGAAAGGCAAGTTCATTTTTCTGTTTATTTTATTTATTTGATTTACACACCAAAGTGGGTGGGCTGTGTAATTTTATTACTCTTTTTATATATATGCTTTTTGTTTTTATCACCAGTGTTAAGGTACCTGTTCTACTTTAAATCGAAGGAGAGATAAGGATGGAAAGGCTTGTTTACTTTTGTGCATATTTGATGTGAAGTACCAAAGCAAGACGGGCTGTGTAATTTAAGATATTTTCAATTGTTTTTTTGTTTGTTTGTTTGTTTTTTGTTTTCTACAGTGTTAAGCTACTTTTTCTGGTAATCTAATTAAAATAAAGATTTAAAAAAGTAAATGAGCAGTGTTTTGTAAACCCTGGTCTGTGTCTTTTTAGAGTGGAGGTTTCTTTCAAATCAAGCAGGTATTTAGGTTTGACTCAAAAACAGAATTGAACTGAAAATAAATTGAAACTTAAGTTTTCATTTCCGTTAATCAGCATTTTGTGAAATGCTGATTAAATGGTGAAATGAAGCTAAGATCCTCCACCTGAAACCAGATAGCAATTACGGACAGCCCAGAACCAGCATTGAAGCATCTAAAATTAGTAAAAAAGCTGACATAGAAAATCAGATAGGTTTTACTTATTACATTTAAAAGCAGGTTTTAGACATTGCTCAGTAGCACAATACATGTTCAAATGTTTTATTTTTGTGTTTTCTTGTGTTTTTTTTTTATTACTCTTGATTTAGTGAATATTGTTCTAGACTAACAGGGCTTTGATCAGTCTGTATCACCAGCAATGTTGTAATAAATTCAGTTACATGAACAAAACTGGTGAAAAAATTGGATTATGTTCCAGAAAATGTACTTTAATATTTTGGCATATTAAAACAAAGGAAAATGTTGTTTATTCCAGGGACTATTTTGAAGTTCCAGCATGTTTTCAATATTTTACAAGGACTTGAAGTTCAGCATCAATGTGCAGTAAATCTGTAAAGGGGAAAAAAGTATGTATACTTGATTTGAACCCAGAATCTTAAAACAGCTGGATTGCATCCTAATCAACACCTTAATTGTAAAAAGTTCTCACCTCTATCGTCTCTCTGTCAGATACTCGCTCTGGTTAAAGCCTCATAGAAACCACTCTCAGAAGCAGACAGCCTAACATTTCTTAGGACATGTTCAGGATTAATGTCATGAAATTTTCATTATCAACATCACATCTGTTGGGACGACTTTATGTGATTTTCTAACAAGCTGACATTGCTGCTGTTTTATTGCAGGTTGGAAATGAAGAATATCTGCCGACATACAGTTTTGCTAGTTCCACCCTTACAGGAAAAAGAACTACAGAGCCTTCTGCCAGTTTATGTTTATGAAATACTAAAGACTTGTAGATAGAAGCCTGGAGACCCATTGGAATGTTAATCCACAACATTACTACTTTGTTTGAATTGCATGTTCAACAATTTTCCTTTCCTCTCTTAAATGTCATTATTTAAAAACAAAAAGCACTTAACTCAGAACACTCATAAGAAATATACCTGTTTGTCAATAATTACTAATCACAGAAATAATGATCCCAAATTCTTTTCGGGCAGCATTCCAATTTTTTACTTTTAACAATAAAATAAGACCTATACCAGAATGCTCAGCTTATTATTATTATTAATAGCAATCGGTTGTTTGAAAATGTTTTGTTGCCTTTGGTAAATCTTTGTCCTCAGCAGTAAAGCTCAGCACAGCAGGCCTTATTACCGCAGTTGAACAGGGATGAGCCGCCCGCACATGTTGGAGCGGTGCGGGGCTGCGGGCTGTCTGGAGATGATGCTCTCACGCAGGAAGCACAACATCCAGCTGTGTCCATTCAGCACTTTGATCAGCTCAGGGAACACATGAAGCTTTCGCTTGACCTTCATCCAAACGGTCCGACACATCAACTTTTTTCACATTAGGGGAACAACAACAACTAGTCCGACTCTGAGAGCAGACAACACGCACCATTTAGCGGCGGTGAGGCGCCCCTCCAGCCGGGCATGAAGCAGCATGAGCAGCTCCAGCCGCTGACAGGTGCCATACTCACAGTGAGACGCGGCTGATGCTCCACCGAGGATCCTCGCAGCGCAAAGAAGAACCGCAGGAAACAGAACATCCATCTTCCCCACTGGGCAACACTGTTATCTATCCGAGAGTCCGCTGAGGTGGAAGCTGCGCACAGGTTCCTGCTTGCTCCTCCAGCTCAGAGGGATGAGAGGAGTCTGGTGTGGAGAAGCAGACCTCTCCCACGATGGCACGCCCTCCCTCCTCCCTGTGAGGCACAGCCCACCTCCCTCTCTTCTCTCTCCCTCTCTGCCTGCCTCCCCCAGTCTGATTGTGGATCAGGCTTTATTGGCAGAACAGGAACCGGGCTGCGCAATGATTCGGTAAAAAACAACAATGGCAAACCCATAGAGAGCAGCAGCAGTGAGGCAGTGTTATCAGAAGTCACCTATCAGCAGTGGTGTGCACAGGTGTGGGCACCCCCCCCCCCATTAGTGAAAAACCTTTTACAAAGTGCCCTCTCAGAACCCAAAATGGGTGCTAAAGTGCCCTCTACAGTGATGAGGATGTGCTGTATTTGTACTTTTTTTCACCCCTGCCCTTCAAAAAGTCTGTGTATGCCACTGTCTATCAGAAGTCAGGAGCTAACAACTTGGATATACAGTCCATAATGAAAAGAGCTGGAAAATCCTCTTTTTACTATTTGATCAAGTCTTATTTAAAGGTGAAGTTTGGTCACATTCAGAATTCAAACTTCTGAAAGTACTTTAAATATGAAATCATTACATACCGTTCAATAAATGATAAGTGTTTTAATTAAAAGTAATTTTGATTCAGATGTGCTTTACTGGAGGCATCCATGTTTGTCAAAGAACACTACTGCCACCTACTGGTTTGTGACGTCACGGTGCGGTATCGGCTGTTGATCAAGTCCCAGTGCTGTATCTGGTGTTTGTCACAACACACTATTATCCAAGTCATCTTGCAAACGTTCTTCTGCCAAATTTTGGATACATATTAAATGTTTTTTTTTCTGGCCAGAAGGTCGATGGCAAATACTCCCTCTTCAAGTTGGCAATCCAACGATGAACCCGTTTGGGTGGGTCATGAATCGGAAAGGTGAAATAACTATTTTTTTTTTTTTTTTTTCACTTTTACCGGATGTATTACAACATCCAGCTGCCATGCATTTGGCATTGTCAGTTTCACTATACTGTAGCTCTGGTGAATTTCAATGGTGAAGTCCTCTGGAAATCTTCAGTAATTGTTGTTGATTGCAGATGTGTCTAGTAGTTGCCACTGATTTAGCTTAAAAAGAGGGAGAATGGCGCTAGGCTTAAAGCAGCGTGACATCAGTGCTGGAAGATTTCAGAAGTGAGGTATTACTATATTTGGAAAAAAGTGGTGTTCCCAGACTAAGTGATCGCAACATAAATTATTGGGTTTTTTTTGTTTTTTTTTTACTGATTAACTTAATTAACTCACTGCTAATGTATTAGTTTTAGGTATAGATAATGATACATTGATTATTTCTTGCTGACCGGACTTTTCGTTTAAAGAACAAACACATTTTAAGTCAAGCCACAAGAAATAAATTTCTATCATTATTGTTAGAGGTTTTTAAACAATAAAAATTAAATAAACTCTTTTAATGTTGTAGTTTGTGTTATATGGGAGATTTCAGTTTATTTTATTGCCTAAGACAATTTACTTCAGTTGACTCCTTTTTTTTTGTTCAATTGTTGAAAAATGTTTTGGAGAGAGGGACCCACTTTCTAACTCTAAATCAAGCTCATACCTAAACCGAGAGTTGAACTCAAATGTCAAATGATCTCTTAAAACATAGCTACTGTTGATCTCTTTTATTTTTTCATTGTAACTGGGTACAGTAGACGATTAAACGGTAGAGAAACAATTAAGAGTGGACAAGAAATGAGCACTACGTCATAGGCTTCCACTTTTGTGTCAATGTGACGAAAGATATTGATAGACTACAGCCCTCACTGCAAAAAAATCAAATTTAAGTACCGTATTGGCCCAAATATAACACAAGATTTTTTTTTTGTATCAAAAACTATGTGGTTGTCTTATAATCAGGGTCTAAACAATAAATCGGCTGACAGTTGTCTGGGGTCACTACACGAACAGCAGAAGGCGCCAGTCTTTTGTAAAACCAGTGACCTCACTGTGGCTGGGGTCATCTTTCTATCACAACAGAAAAGTTACAAGGTTGCTAAAAATGGGGAGTCGCTGTTCAGTAGATCAAAAGTCAGACAAGTTTGGAGACATTTGAGGCAGAGTTATGACGCCAATTTCAAAATGATGGTGGTCTACGCAGGCAGGCATCAAACAGCTGCAGCAGGCAGCAAAGAAGCACAGAGTCAGAGTGCCATGTCAGAAGATGGCACGCTCAAAAAGACAGGAAAAATGCAAACAGCAAAAGAAAAGCTTATCATAAAATTGCAGAGCTGCAAGGTGAGAGTAGGAGTGACAGCAAATGCAGTGAAACAAAGTTCAAATTTCATTCAAGATGAAGTGCAGCAAATTTTAAATTAAATGTCTCATAAGTTGTTTTGCTTTTTTTTACTTTTTATTGTTTAAGTGCACAAATCTTTCAATGCTATATTATTTCACTGAAATTCTTAGCATTTCAATTTAAAATAGCTTCTTTAAACCTGTAAATGACCCGTTTCTAATTTTGCTATAAGAAAAATTCCAATGTAACATTGCTATGATCTATTATTTTTGCCCCCATTGTTTTTGTAAATTTATAATTCTTTACATTTTACCTTGTTTTAAGGGACTTTATTTAAAAAAAATACCCAACCGGGTTTTAGTTAGTGGCTACCGCGAGATTACAGAGAAGAAGAGACTGGGATTGAAACATAGTGAAATAAGGAAAGATTGTTAAAAATAAAAAAGCTTTATTTGAAGGACTTGCACCCTCCAAAGTGGCACAAAGTTAGAGCTTGAGTGATTAAAAATGTTCATTGTTTTTTAGGTAATTTTCAGCGTGTAAAGAAGTATTTCTGTATGTGTTAAGTCTCCGTAGCTTACGTATAAGGTGCTCATTTTACGTAGTATTGGATAGTACCGTAATACATTTTTCTCCTGCGCTCTGCCTAGCTCTTACATTGGTTAGTTTAAAGGATTATTGTTGACAATACTAAGATTCCAATAAACAAGAAAACCATCAAGTGTTTACCATCTTTCGGGGGAGATGCTACAAAACCAAATAAATTTGGTTTATCAGTCTTTTTGTTTGTTTTTGGTGTTTCTGTTTTGTTCCTAAAAACTGCTCCTTGAAAGAGGGGTTTGTGTTATAATCAGAGTCGCCCTATATTTGGGTCATTACGGTAAGTCATTTTTTCTTGAATTTAGGTGGTAAATGAGATACTTTGCCAATGGAACAAGAAAATTTACATAAAAAAAAGAAAAGCATTTACAGTCTCTTATTTCAAGTGCATAATATCAAACTATTTCCAGAGTAGAAATGCTCATTCCAATGGCAAATCATCTTATTTACCTTAAGAAATAAGGGGTAAATACACTAATTTAAAGAAATCTTTGGTCATTTTTCACATAGTTTTTCAGAGCTTAAAGTTGGATTCCGGAATTAATTATGAAATGAAAATTACTTGCATCCTTGTTATTTTCACGTATTTATTTATTTTAATAATGGTGTTAGCCTTAGCGTACAAGGTAAGTGGAAAGAGAAGTGAAACCAATTTTCGTCATAGACTGCTAAAGATAGACAC